TTTTTCTGTAAGCCTAAAATTACTCTAAGAAAAAAAGTCTTGAGGTAACTGAGTGGCTCAGTTGGTTAAGTGACTGCCTTTGGCTCAGATCATGATCCTGGGTTCTGGGATTGAGCCCCAAGTGGGGATCCCTAAGCAACCAGGAGTCTGCTTTTCCCTCAGCCTCCCCGCTCTGCTCATGCACATGCCTCTCTCCCTTTCAAATAAACAAAATATTTTTAAAAACAAGTTTTAAGAAAAAGAACTATAGAAATATATGAATAAAAGAGAATAATCCCAATCCCCAAAATGTCCCCTCATACTCCTAGTCCCTGGTTCCTCTAGATCTCCATCCCTCATAAGGGTGATCACTATCCTGCCTTCTAACGGCAAAGATGAATTTCAGCCAGTTTTTATAACTCATGGAAATGAAATCATTTTATAAGTACTTTAGGCCCGACTTCTTTCACCCTGCCTTATGCTCATGAGATTCATGTATGCTGTGTGTGATTATGGTTCATTCCTTCTCATTGTTATACAGTAGTCCATCAAGCAAATACCACAATTTGTCCATCTACTCTATTATTGACAGGCATGTAATTCCCAGGTTGAATATCACAAATATCACAAATAGTGCTATGAATATTCTACTACATGTCGTTTGAAGAATATGCGCACACCATTTCTGCGGGCCATTGTTATGGACGGAATGTTTGTATCCCCTCAATAGTCACATGTTGAAGCCCTAATATCCAATGTGACAGTAGTTGGAGATAGGGTCCCTGAGGAAGTGATAAAAAGTTAAATGAGGTCATAAGAGTGGGATCCTAATCTGATAGGGCTGATGCTCTTATCAGGAGACAGACACCAGAATTAGCTCCGTCTGCCATGGGAAGATATACAAAGAAGGGACCTATAAGCCAATAAGAGAACTCTCTCCAAGAAGAACCTAATCAGCCAGCACCCTGATCTTAGACTTCCCAGTCTCCAGAACTGTGAATAACAAATTTCTGTTGCTTAGGCAGCCAGTCCGTGATATTTTTGTTATGGCAGCCTTACTAATACAAATATATATCCAAGAGTGGCATAGCTGTTCATAACATCACGTATGATATTACATATGCAGGTAAATATATACTGCCAAAAATTGAAATCAGTTGCCAACAGTATATACAAGTTCTAATTGCTGCATATCCCCACCAACATTAAGAACTTTCTGTCTTTCCTGCTTCGACTACTTTGGAGGGGGTGTAATAGTACTGCATTGTAGTTTCGATTTCCATTTTTGGATGATTATTCAAATTAAACAATTTTTCCCATGTTTATTGGACATCTGGATAGTCTCCTTTGTGAAGAGTCCCATTCAAATATTTTGTTCACCTTTCTATTGGATTGTCTTTTTTCTTTTTTAAAGATTTTATTTATTTATTTGACAGAGAGATCACAAGTAGGCAGAGAGGCAGGCAGAGAGAGAGAGGAAGGGAAGCAGGCTCCCTGCTGAGCAGAGAGCCCGAAATGGGGCTCGATCCCAGGACCCTGGGATCATGACTCGAGCCAAAGGCAGAGGCTTTAACCCACTGAGCTACCCAGGCGCCCCATGGATTGTCTTTTTTTTTTTTTTTTTTTTTTTTTTAATGATTTGTTCTAGATACCAAATGCTTTGCCAGAGACAGGATTGCAAATACTTCTCCCACACTACGGATTACTTCTTGATTCTCTTAATAGTGCCTTTTAATGAACAGAAATTCTTAATTTTAATATATTCCAATTTATCAATTTTGAAGAATTCATTTTTTTTAAAAGATTTTGTATATTTATTTATGAGAGAAAGAGCAGGAACAGGGACGGCAGGGAAGGGCAGAGAGAGGGAGACAAGCAGACTTCCCGCTGAGCCTGGGATCCATCCCAGGACCCTGACATTATGGCCTGGGCAGAAGGCAGATGCTTAAACGACTGAGTCACCCAGGTGCCCAAAAGACTCATTTTTTACATGTTCTGAACACCTATAGCACCCTAGGTACCTTTAAAACAAAAGCAACAGGGCTAAGTCTCTTCTTTCTAGGAGTAACTTCATATCCATGCACAAACTAAATGCTGTACACAGCATCACTCTTCATAGTTATGTTTAACGGGTTCCTTCTAAAGGGATATGCCATTTCTCTATGTTTTGTGTAAAACTAAGTGTTTATATGTTTACCTCATTAATTCTTATTTATTGGACACAATGTTTTTAAAACACTGACTTATGCTTTTGAATTCCAATTTCTAAGCCCCATTGTTTCATGGCCATCAAGAATTGGAACTGATCTGAGTTGCAGATTTTTGAGAAATTATCTTACTTCAGTTATGAAAGTGCAACTGTATAATCTTAAAGTCAGAAGAAATAGCTAGAAGTTATGTTCTCCAGCTCTGTAGTTTTAGGTTAAGAAAATATTTCATTCAAACACTCTTGAATACCTGAGTGTGATCCACTATCTATCCACTTTTTTTTTAAGTAATTTCCTACCTTAGAATAGAAGATAGAGGGGCACCCGGGTGGCTCAGTGGGTTAAGCCTCTACCTTCGGCTCAGGTGATGATCCCAGGGTCCTGGGATCGAGCCCCACATCGGGCTCTCTGCTCAGCGGGGAGCCTACTTCCCCCTCTCTCTTTCTGCCTGCCTCTCTGCCTACTTGAGATCTCTGTCTGTCAAATAAATAAAATCTTAAAAAAAAAAAAAAAGAATAGAAGATAGAGGGAGAGAACCATGGAGCCTTGAAATAAGGAAACCCTCACCACTGATGAGGTTTTTCCAAGAGGGCACCTACCAGTAGAAACACTTCAGTTCCCTAACCCTTTTGCCAAGACTTCATGGGAGAATGCAGTAAAACCTAATTTAAATTTGTGTTTGTCTCTATTAGGGGTTTTTACCTTGTAGGTGCCACAGAACCTAGAGCTTCTCAGACATAATTCAGGTTCCACAGATGTTTGATTCAAATTTCACTGTTTTAAATAGGCTTTCATACTGCCAAGGGATATAATGCCAAAATTTAACACACTGCAAACTGCCCACCTGTTAATCTGAGGTTAAATCATCTCAGTGTAGATCTCAGAATTAATCTCCTCCTGCCATCTTTGTAATTGAAGCACATGTCCAAGATTTCAAGATGAGTCATTTTAAGACCACTGTAATTTGTATCTACTTTTCTGAACGGATCAGGATATTCTTGATAGTCTACAACCAAAAAAGAACAAGAAACTGCCCCAAGGCTGCTTGTAGTTGTCCTACTGCAACTGTTGTCCATAACCCCCAACTCTGAAAGTTTTCCAGCATATAAGAGCAGAATCAAGTGTGCCTGGGTGGCTCAGTCAGTTGAATGTCTGCCTTTGGTTCAGGTCAGGATTCCAGGGTCTGACACACCCTGACAATGGACTGAGTCCAGCATCAGGCTCCTCACTTAGCAGAGAGCCTGCTTCTCCCTCTGCCTGCTGCTCCCCCTGCTTGTTCGTTCTCTCTCTCTCTGACAAATAAATAAATAAAATCTTAATTAAAAAAAAAAAGAGCAGAGCCAAGACTTCAGTGGCAGTGGGGCCATCATGGCACCATAACCAGACTAGTTTCTGTTGGTCTGCTGACTTGCTATTTATTAATTTAGCTACCCAATTTCCTTTTGATAAATTCCTTGTCTGCTAAAAACAAAACAACAACAAACCAGCCTCTTTTAAAAAAAAATTACCTATAAAGTTAATATTAAAATTCTGAACTTACAAATGCTTCATAGAAGAATGCAAGTTTTCATCTACTTTATATGTTGGGGTTCTGTGACAGATTTTGCTTGAAAAAGACTCCAATACTTTTTAAAATTTAATTTGAAAATCACAGTACTGAATCCCCTCCCTGACTCCTATCTTAGCCTCCCTTCAGCCATTTCTGTTGCAAGACTAACCACGTCATTCCTCCATCTAAAATCTTTTTTAAAACTTTTATCCAATAGGGAATCCTATAAGGTGAAGTTCAAATTATCTGCCAGACTACAAGTCCCCTCAAAATTTGGCACATGGTAACAGGTACTTAACGTTTGTTGAATGAGTCATTAAAAACTGTAAAATGTAAAAACTAGCCACACTGTGCTACATCCCTCCCTTGAGTTTCAACAATAATAAGTTATTATGTGGTGCTTCCACATAATTATCTCAATTACATGTAATGCTTTCCAGACATGTCATCTTATTTATGTACAATTTCTCCAAACAAAATGAGTGGAGGGTAAATAGGAAGAAATGCTTCTTTATAAAGCAGGTGTATATATTACCTCCGGTGGGGCTATGAAGTTTGAGAAAAGGTTTTCCTAAATCATAGATTGATAATGGGTAGCAGAGGATCATAAAGGTATATAACTAAAAGACCCCTGGTCTGACATTGACCAAGCTTAGGAAGGGAGGTAGAGGTGCGTATCTGGGCAATGCCCGGAGAGATGTGGGTCATTTTTTAAAACTTTTATTTTGTTTTTAAAATTTATAAACCTTTTTACTTTGAGCTATCTGGGGCTTACCCTAAACAGTGAACATGACAGAGAACACCTAAACATGAAAGTGCTTCCCCACTTCACCAGCCAGTGCAAACCTGGGGACTTGGCTTTTAACTTGCTCCCCAAAGACACCTTCTCAAGTGTCTCCTGAGCAAAAACCATGTGAGGATCCCACTTGAGCCTAAGGCCTGGAAGAGACCTCTGGGCGTCAGTTCTGCTACTCACTACTGGGGTTACTTGTTTTAAGCCTTAATTTTCCTCATACCCCTACTGATTAAACTCCCCAATCCCCGCCCTCCCTTACCCCCACCCCGCGGCGACCCAAAGTTAGTAACGCCTACATGAGGTCACAAGTGACGATTTAATTACCTCCTCTGCTTTGCTGACCCTCACTCCCGCAGCCTGTCACTCTGCCCTCCCCTCGGCACCCCCCCTCCCCGGGCCCCGCTGCGGGAGATCTTGAGACCTTCGTGCGCACGCGCCACTGCGCCCCGGGGGCTCTCGCGCACTCGCGCGGCGCCCCCTGGGCGTCCCCGCCGCTCGCCCCGGGGCGCGGAAGCGCGCGCGCTCCGGCGGCCCCGCCCCCAGCGGCGCGCGCCCCACGGTCGCCGAGGGGCGGGGACGCGAGCGAGGCCGGCCATGGAGCTCCTGCGGAGGGCCCACGAGGCCGCGCTCCGGCTGCTGCTGTGCGGGCCCTGGGCCTCGGGCGCCGCCTCCCGCCCGAAGCCCCGCGCCTCGGAGGTGCTGACGCGGCACCTGCTGCAGCGGCGCCTGCCGCACTGGACCTCCTTCTGCGTGCCCTACAGCGCCGTCCGCAACGACCAGTTCGGCCTCTCGCACTTCAACTGGCCGGTACAGGGCGCCAACTACCACGTCCTGCGCACGGGCTGCTTCCCCTTCATCAAATACCACTGCTCCAAGGCCCCCTGGCAGGACCTGGCCGGGCAGGATCGGTTCTTCACGGCGCTCAAGGTCGTCAACCTGGGTGAGTGGCCCGGGCCGGTGAAGGACGCCCCGCTGACAATGGGATCACTGTTTGCAAAGCACGCTGACAAATGTCGCTCAGAGGCCGAGACCCCGGCCCTAAGTTAGGCCACAGCAATGCCGGGGAGCCCTGCCTCGGCCCCGCGCAGGCTCGCCCGGGCGCACGGGCTCACCACGTTTCTCCCGGAGCTGTTGGGTTTCCCAGACTCTGCCTCCGCGTCCCACCCACTCTGGCCTTGGCCCTAGTATTTGGATCTCCGACCCCGACCTCCCCATCCCTAACCCCTCGCGTAGGTGCTTGTCGCGGCTGAGCAGTTGCTACTGAGTCATTCCCTGGAAAGTAGGGCTTTTAAATGCCAGACCTGTATCGAGGGACCACACGGCATCACCCCTAGGGAGGAGGCATTCTTTCCATCCTCACCTACCGCAGCTCTTGACTGGGAGAACCTCAACATTGGGGAGTAAGAATGAGGGTGTAAGGAAACGACCCCACTGGAGAGTGGCTCTGAAATTAAGAAATCTTACAGCATGGCAGGATTCGTTCCCATGACCATCATTTTCTTGGGTGCATTCATTATTATGAAAACTGCAACTACTTTCTGAGTTTCATTGTTTTCTTTATATGAAATCCCAGCAAGTGCGTTTTACTAGAAGCACTAAAGGTTTTCAACAGTCGTATCAGCTTCCTAAAGTCCTAGGCCTAAAAGGTACCAAAGTCTTCTGCCTCTTTAATATTTCTGTGTTTTCATGGTAATGTTCTAATTCCGATTGTATTTACTCTTGTTGGATGCTTCTTTTCTTTTGGCTAATGACGGAAGAGGCATGAACATTGACATAGGTATATCTTTTGTATCTTTATCGAGAGGCCTCAAGATGTTTTGAGCCTATTAATAGGTAATATCACTTTGATCCAGATTTTAGTAATTCGAAATCTAGATGTGGGAGCTGAACCCTGTTATCCAATCGGTTTTTTTAAACCAGAGTTAAAGCTAAACCCCTGTGTACATGCACTGGTATTATATAATCTGACGGATCATTAAATTTATATATGGTATTTATGTATTTTTGCTTATAATAATTCCCATATGTCAGTCATGGGATTTTTGAGCCATTGATCTACTGGGACTGCCCTGGGTTCAGTCCAACAAGGAGGAGATTATTTAGCAATGCGTAATTCTTTAAAATCTTGTATATTTGGCTGATGGACTACATAGAGCATGCCCACTAATTTTGAGGTTGGTTTGAAGCTGAAGGGTAAGCTCACTTGGAAGATGTGATTCAAAATTATTTGGAAAGACTGGAGTGATAAATTGATTCAGGAAGAACTTTTACTGTTTTCAGAATCAGAGGCAGTCATTCATCCCAAATGTAAAGAGTAACAGGTTAGGAAGAGTATAGTTGGAGGATCATAGGTAAACCATGAGCCAAATGCCTTTTAAAGAGTTTTTATTTAAAACTTAACACTTTTAATAACACCTTAATAATTAGGGGCTTCTTTTTTAAGTATAGATAGAAAGAAATCCAGAGAAAATTAGAATACCCAGAACATTCTCACACAAAGAAGTGAAACACTTTGAGGAAAGAAACAACAGTTATATTTTCTTTATGTGGAAGAGAAGCCTGAAGACTGATTCAGTTGTCTTTTGGAAATTCTAAAAATCCTGCCTACATGGGAATAAGAGTTTTAAGTTAAACAAAAAGGAAAAGTTTCTGCTCATGCATGCTTTAATACAAATTGGCTTTCATTCCCTTTATCAAAGGGAATTTTTTTCCTGGACTTTTTAAACATTAGTGTATTTACCAATGGTAATGTTTATTTTGTATTTTTGTCTTAAGGTAGGGAATTAGATAATAGATTCTTTCCTGTTCTGTGATGTACAGTTGCCCCTCTGGATCATCTAGTTCCTATTCTATTAATAAAAATACCTAGGATTTTATTCCTCTTATTCTCTTCTAAATTAATAATTATCTGAGTAATCCGTTTTTCCATTTTGTAAATAATAAAGATTTCTCTTTTACCATTTGTTCCCTTTCTCCTCTGCCTTCCCTTCAGTGGAAGCTGACATTTTACTGATGGTTTATCAGTCTGGGTGTCCTGCTGGGAAGTAGATTGAGATTTAAGAAAAGCAACTTACCATTGGAATGAATGGGTAATCGGAGGCTTGCTAAGAAGTTCTAATTTTTTTTAAGTGCTTAATTTGACAGTGGTTTACCTACTGTTCAGCTGACTCAGAATGAATTATTATGCAAAGAACTGACTTTCATGTTCATTTTGATGTTCTGTTTCAGTCTGGGAAAAATTTAATTTCTCATGGAATTTTATAGACTTCATAGCATATGTGCTATACATAAAGAAAATTATTTTTTTAATGTTTAAATTATATAAGTGGCAAATCTTCTCATTTTAGCCTGACTGCATTAAGTAGACTGCAGGGAAAAAAAAATACAGAATTTCTGACTCCTGTATCACAACCCCATCCCCTATAAAACAGCATCAGTGATAGTGGTTCCTAGCTGTTTCTTAGTAAGAGATAATGTAGTTATTATAAGCTAGTAATCTTTGGTGAGTTCTCCATTTTAGCTGAAAAATACTGACCATTGATTTATGTGGTTTTTAAAACGTGTCAGTGTTTTAACTGAAAACTGATAAGTACTGTAAAACAAGATTTCAGTTTTACCAGCCATTCCTTAAATTTATATCATTAGCATTGGTTTAAAAGGCGTATTTTATATATTTTACTGTCAGTATATTTAGAAATTAATAATTGTTTCTAGAACTCAGTTCTTCCTCCATTGATTTTCAGCTTTCACGTTGTGATACTGTATTTTTTTTTAAAGATTTTATTTATTTGACAAACAGAGATCACAAGTAGACAGAGAGGCAGGCAGAGATAGAGGAGGAAGCAGGCTCCCCGCTGAGCAGAGAGCCCGATGCGGGACCCTGGGATCATGACCTGAGCTGAAGGCAGAGGCTTTAACCCACTGAGCCACCCAGGCGCCCCGTGATACTGTATTTTAAATTTATTTTTTATTTCAACTTCATCTTCACTCACTTCTGCCTGTTTTCTTGTCCACTTCCCTACTCATACTCCCTTTACCTTTTTTTTCTTTCTGGTAAGTTGGTTTATGTTGCTAGTTTTTGTAGGGTTTTTGGTGGCATTGCCTTGAAGCCTTTAGAGATTCTTTTGGGTGTTACCAAGGCAAAGAAGGCAATATACTGTCAAAGATTTCATGAGAGTTCCAGGGAACCCTGGGATAGTGACAAGCTGTGACCCAGTATATTCCTAAAAATAGAGGGGCCAGGCTGAATGGGCATTTTTGCCTGTTCTCATTGCCAGCTAGTGACGCTTCTCCTGATTAATCTCTGGCATCACAGTGGTTGGAATGCAGCTTCAGGGGAAAAGCCCCAAGTAGTCCAATGCACTTACACCCTCAAAACGAGCATAATACAGCAAATATATTCTTGCGGAAAATTTTTAAAAAATCTAGCAAAAGGATTAGTCATGAGCATGGGGCTTCCCTATTAACTAGAAAGAGGGATTTTCCAAATGTACAGCTCTTCTTTTAAATTGTCATTTTTCTGCCCAATTCCTACACGAGAACAATAAAGTTAATATTTGTGTGGCACATACAATATATGCCTGTGGCTTTATACATGTTTTTAAATAAGTGCCTTAAAAAAGATAGGAACCATGAAAGTTTATTCTGTGTCAGTCTAGTATCATATGCATGAGGGTTTAATCCATTATCTCTGGCTAGTATATGTTTGGTTTCCTGCATCACAAATGGCCACTGATCACAACTGTAACAGCAAAATCTTATCAAATGGAAATACTCCAAAAAAGAAACGTGTTGTTGGAGTCTACTGTATACCTATTTCAAATAGGTTAAAACAAGATTGTTTTCAAATCAGTTGTAAAAATACTCATGGGAGTATTTCTCATACCTGTTATACTAAAATCTTCCTTAGAATTAGGGTTTGCCTCAGGTTTTGAAGACAGCTACTTGACCCAGTTTCTTTTAAGTTGTACAGAAAATTACTTTAGCCATCAGTGTTACTGTTTGATGTAAAGCACAGTAAAGTCGTCCTAGTAATTTGAGCTCAAGGCCACTAATCTGGAGCATCTACAACTAAATTCATGAATATTCTGTTTGCTTATTTGTGAAAAGAATATAGAATCACTTCATAATTACTTGGGAGTGATGAATTAGTGCTTAAAGTGCTTTGAATTAAAATTTAAACCAGCCTTATCTACAGTTTTAGAAATCTTCTAGGCTCACACAGTTGCTTCCCTATTCCACAAACTGATGAAATTGAGCTCTTAGATAATTAGAATCAGTCTGTACTCCTATCTTTATATTTTCATAACTTTACAATTTGTTGACATTGCGAAAGAGTTGTCTGTGACTTATACCATGACAAATACATGGATGCATGATTAATTAATAAGCATTGATGTTCATAAATAACATATTCGTTTGTTTTCTAGGTATTCCAACCTTATTATATGGACTTGGCTCCTGGTTATTTGCTAGAATCACAGAGACTGTACAGACCAGTTATGGACCAGTAACAGTTTATTTTCTAAATAAAGAAGATGAAGGTGCCATGTATTGAAGGTGTGCCTCGGAGAACATAAATATCAGTGAATTTTCTCTTGTGTGTATGTGCAATGTTTATTTTTGACCCTTTAAAATAAAACTTTTGCAAACACCTTTTTCTTTCTATGGTGTTGGGTTCTTTAAGATGAATCATTGCCCTCAAGAGGCAAAGCTTTTCATATGTTGTTACATATTGCACACTCGGTTTAGCCAGTGGGAACTACAGATGCATGAAGCATATACCAATTTTTTTCCTAGAATTGGGTTAAATTACAGATAAATTATGATTATAATATGTATATATTCTATAGTTAGGTGTTAGCAATTCAAATCGACTCTTTGAAGAGAAAATGGAGACACCCACACAAAGAAGGAAGGTGGAAAAAAATCTTTTGTAGGACACTGGGAAAAGAAGTAGAGGATTTTAGGATATATATGGAGATAATATCATTGGCAATTCCAAAACTGATAGATTTTAACTGTAATCTGAAATCTAAACCCATTTAGCTGCTAGGATTTTCAGTGGGTATGTCTTAAAGCCTTTGTGCCATTTACTTGGATGAGAGGTCTAGATGTAATGTTGAAACTTCTTACTGCCTAAACATCCAACACTATACTACTTTCTAAAAAATAATGACTCTGGTTAATGTAAATGTACCAAGATGATGAAATTAAGACTTACTAAGAGTTAAAATACCATGCTGATAAAGCTGTAAGAACAATTAAGATCTGGAAAGACTCAGAAGAATAAATTTGGTGTCTGTTTATAAAAGCAATTAGCTGAAATGGTACATATCCATACACTTCTTGGTGATGGGAAATGGGCCGAAATTTTAAAGACCTGATGGCAGTTTTGTGTTAAGATTTTATTAAGCTAATTGCATTTTTGAAAGGAAAGTCATTTAAAAAAATTTATCCTTGGGGGTGGTTACAAAATACCCAGACGAATGGTAAATTTCAGAAATTTGGAGTAATTTAGGGAGAACTAAGTAGAACTATTTAATTTCTAAACCAATGGGTGTTTAAGATTTATGATCTCTCCCATAATTACAAACATACATTATATATCATTTTATGTTAATGTGTTGCTGGTACTCTGCAACATTCACACATTATTGTAGCAAAATATTTTATAAAATACAATCTAACCAGCATTTGGGTGATTGCTTCTGGCAAATCAGTTGAGAAAGTGAGTGGCAGAGACTGAGGTGAAAATAACAGAATAAAGTAATACAAACTAACTTCGTTAAAGGTAGTTGCTTTCAATGAGCTGCAGAGAGTGAGCTGTTCTTCAAATAAATGTAATGTTCACTTGTCTAAGAGCAATTCTAACACTTTAATCAAAGAAGTACTTATGCCAATATATTTAGTCCAGAAGAACATACTTGACACTAGTTAAATGAATGGCTTACACAGAGGAGATAGTGTTACATTAAGCTTCATTAATAATAAAACTGACTATTAGCATTTTGCAAGGAAGGCTAGAACTGATTTCCCCTGTAATGGGCAAAGTTAAATAACTATAGCTCATAAGTTTTAAGTCAAACACTGCTCATTCACTGCTGCTGGTCTTGTCAATACTTGACGTAAAGGTTTGGTCCCAGCACAAAGCTGATAAAATGGTTTTTAATTACCAGACTATAAATACAGCTTTTCAGTAGAGTTGCACTTCTTTTCATACTGGCCCGTTTGATTTCTGATAATTTGTGCTGCTGACTCTGCTTACCTGTTTTTCAATAGCTACAGTCAGTGTGACTTCTTATCCATATGGTGATAGGTAGTCTCCTTGGAGAAGATCTTTGACAAACTACCCTATTGATCTCTGTAATTCTCTGCTGCTTGCAGCATTAAATAGAGCCTTGATTTCTTGTCTCGTGCACTTGCTGTGTAACAATTAAGCAAATGTAATATTTTCTTGTATTACATGAAAATCAATAGACCTTTTGCTCTCATGGAGTTGATCATGGTGAATGATGAATCAACGATGGCTAAGCATGGTTCAAATATTAAAATATCATTCCTTGGATTTATTAAGTCTTAACAGTGAAAATTTTAGTCCAAAAATGCTTCCCCATTGAACAGTAATGCTTAAGTTTTTCCTTTAAAGTTGAATACGACATGGAAGCATTGTAGCCTAATGGGGATAAAATATAAATGCTAGGAGCCAGGCGATTAATTCTATTTTTAGTGTTAGTCCTGCATTACTTTTCGACTTCAAGCTAATAACTCTACTCCTTTGTGTCTTAGTTTTTTCTACCTGTAATCTGAGAACGAAACAAGAAACCTTTCTACTTTCAAATGTATGATAAATATGCTTGTAAGCAAATGTCAGTTTCATTTCCGTAAAAGCTGGTTTTGTGAAGGACTTCCTTAATAAAAGTATTTTAAAATAACGGAGAGGAAAAAAGGAAGAGACAAACTGAGGCATTGTACGTGTACGTGAGAGTGGATTATGCCTGAGGTGGTAGGCAGGGTTCTGAGTTGACCCTCCCATTCTGGGTATAAGGAATATTCTTTCTTTTTTTTTTTTTTACTTAATTTTTTTTTCAGTGTTCCAAAATTCATTGTTTATGCACCACATCCAGGAATATTCTTAGTTGATGAAACAATCAAAAACAGCTTTTCTACCAATGCTTTTTTGATGGGATTTTGTCTTTAAAAAAATCCAGGCCAAACTATTTTTTAATGAAGATGAGAGTTAGTATAAAATTTTAGAAATCTTCTATTGATTGTTACTTCTACACAAATCAATTATCAAGTACTAGAAGAAATTTTTGGTCAAAATGTTTAGTTTCTGCATGAACTGTTAACCACCATAAAGATACAGTAAGAACTGGGGGCATGAAAGAGGTGGCTAATAAAAATAAATCCCTAGTTTCTCAGTCCTAATGTGTGGTTTTTTTTTTTAAGATTTTATTTATTTATTTGACAGATAGGGATAACAAGTAGGCACAGAGGCAGACAGAGGGAGGAGGAAGCAGGCTCCCTGCCGAGCAGAGAGCTGGATGTGGGGCTCGATTCCACGGCCCTGGGATCATGACCTGAGCCGAAGGCAGAGGCTTTAACCTACTGAGCCACCCAGGCGCCCCAGTCCTAATGTCTTAACATAGCAAAATGACAAATAGTTATTTCTTTTGTCAAACATACTTGGTCAATGATATTTTGCTAATTGTTGACTTCAGTAAAAAATTGAAACACTTGGGGCACCTGGGTAGCTCAGTGGGTTAAGCCTCTGCCTTTGGCTCAGGTCATGATCCCAGAGTCCTGGGATTGAGCCCCACATCAGGCTCTCTATTCAGCAGGGAGCCTGCTTCCTCCTCTCTCTCTCTGCCTGACTCTCTGCCTACTTGTGATCTCTGTCTGTCAAATAAATAAATAAAATCTTAAAAAAAAAAAAAGTTGAAACACTTGTAATTATTAAAAACCATACATATTTCTTTTGCAATGTACATTTTATTTCTTGTCATATTTATATTCACTCAAAACTATAAGCGAGAACATCTGTAATGCTTCATGAAATAGCTCTTAATTCTGTTAAAGAATGAATGATGTTGAAATGGGTGGGGTGACATTAAGACAGGGATCTTGGTTGCATTTCATTTAAAAGCTAATGCAGATAACAGAAACCTTATCCTAAAGCCAGTAGATCGGGTATCCACTTTTTTTTCAGCACTTACCATTCAAATGGTAATGATGTTTGAGGGCATCTTAACCTAAACAAGTACTTAGCATTACATCTCACCTGGGTCAACAGTCTAGGGTATCAAAGTTAAACTGTGTTACTGTAAATTAATGGAAAATGTAACTGCACTTTGCTGAAAGATCAATGTCCAATAAAGGCTGCACAATCAAATCTTGTTGCAATGATTGAGGTCTTTAATTGCCTTTCAAAGATAAGGTGGTAATCAACACAGCTTTAACTGATTTTTTTACTAGTTCAATTACATGCTAATGACTAGTGCCAAGTCAGAATCTTTAAGTACTTATACTTATTAAATCTTATGTTAGTAATGAAAAATTACTTTAGCTACACGATCGATAGAACACAAATCTTAATTACTATATTTCACTTTTATACTATTTTATATGCTTGACAAATGTTTCACAAGAGCTTTCCCAACAGTAAGAAGTGTTAGTAGTGACCATGGTCCACAGAGTATTTTTGTAATATAAATTAGAGAAGAGTTGTTGAGAAAATTTTTTTTCTTTAAATGAAAATGTGGCTAAAATAGTTCCCACTGACACAAATTTGGCCATCCAACTACTTCTCAGAATTCTGTTCTGCTAATTGAGAATATATTTAATACAACTGGGATAAAATAAATCCAGATTGTTTTTAGTGTGTTTCTAAAAGTTCACTTAGTTTTCTAGTAAAGAAATTGATTTTGTGTAGAGCCTGCTATAAAATTCTCCTATTTGGGGAAAGGATAAGTTAGTAAAGGGAAATGAAAAATGAAAAAAATAAGTTGGACTTCATCAAAATTAAAAACTTTTGTGCTTCAAAGGATACTATCAAGAAAATAAAAAACCAGCTGATGGTATAAGAGGAAAATATTTGCAAATCATGTATCTGAAAGGGGACTTATAGCTAGAATAATAAAGAACACTTATAACTCAAAAACACAACTGAAAAATAGATTTTAACAGGTATTTCTCCAAATAAGAAATACAAATTTTTGCTATGAAGCACATGAAAAGATGTTCAACATTAACTGTCAGGGAAACGCAAATCAAAACCACAATGAGAGACTACTTTGTACCTCCTAGGACAGCTATAATCACAAAGACAGATGATACCAAGTATTGCCAAGGATGTGGAGAAATTGGAGCCCTCATGTGTTATCAGCAGGAGTGTAAAATAATACAACAACTTTGGGAAAGTTTGGCAGTTCTTCAAAATATTAAGCATTAACTGACCATATGACCCAGCAATTCTATTCCTAGGTATATACTGTAGAGAATTGAAAACATATGGTCACACAAAAACTTGTACAAAAATGTTCATAGCAGCATTTTTCACTCTACCTCAAAACTGATAGCCACTAATTGATGAATGAATCAATAAAATGTGGCAAGTTCACACAATGGAATATTAGTCAAAAAAAGGAATGATGGG